TAACATTATATTCCTTCATTACATCAACAGATTCCAGGCAATTAAACACACACACTTCCCTTTGACCTCTTTAAAGAAATATTAATGTTCCCACTGTGTCTGAAATTTCCTACATTCACATTTTTCATGTTTTTGGTTCTGCCATACCTACTCAAAAGAAGATTGTTGTTGGCCCTTAAATTAACCTCAAACAGGTGATGAACCATGAGGTAAGATGCACTTGACCATGACAGTCAGTGTTGAGACAAAGAACTGCATTTTCTAACTAACAGGCCAAATTCTATTTTATTTTAAAAATAAATCACAGACTGCTTAAAAAATTGCCACAGATGGCTTAAGGGCCATAGTCTGGACACCCCCTCATTCAATGACTGCAGGTTACCCTGAGCCTAAAGAGCTAAGTATTTTTTCAGCATGCTAATATCCATTAATCTCCAGTGCAGGCAGAAAGACTGCCCTATAGCTATGGAGCAGGTATAGGTTGATAGTGGCAGCCATAGCCTCAAACCTGCATGTAGGCAGCTCAGCTGCGCATTGTGGTGTTGCTCTTTGCAGATGATTGCATTCCTTGCTCCAAAAGATACCTTTTGTAACATACTGTGAACCACTTCTCCAAGGCAGGCATGGATTTTGGCCGAACCACAAGCTTGAAGAAAATGGAGGTACTCCATCTATAAATTCTACGCTCTGCCAGCCATCAGTATCACACCCATCTAAATGTGGTGGATCGCTTTATGTTCTGGGCAGCACGATATCAAATGATTCATCAGTCACAAGGGACAGCGACAACAGACTTGCCACAGCCAACAGATCTTTTCATCGACTGCACGGATGTGTCTGGCACAATCATTCACTGTGCCTGTCCACAAATTTCCAGGAATACCAGGCAGTGGTATTTTCCACCTTACTGTACAGATCTGAATCCTGAAGCACATACAGGATGCACCTGAGATTGCTCATGCATTTCCACAAACAACGCCCATACTCGAGCATAAACAGGTGGCAGGACCACAGCTTCCAATAGCATCCTATCTAGTCTTCTCTATTGACAGCTGCACTGGGCTGGCCATGTACCTTGCATGAGGGACAAAAGACTGCTAGGTACCTCAGAATTCTGAGCATTTTACTCCCAGGCATTCAACATTGCAAACGACCCAGCACTCGGAGGCACACGGCGGATGAACACTACCAGTGCCTTGCCCTGACCTAAGAAATGCGTCCGGTTCCTGGGGTCCAGGGCAGCTGGCAGGGACTCCTGGCACTGTGCAATCAATAAAGCAGAAGAGCAGAATATGCCTGAAGTGGCAGAGAGCAAGCTGAGGGTTGGAAAAGGCAAAGTCCCTGTTAAAACCACGCCAACACAGGAGTTACTCTGCACATGTTGCAAACAGAATTTGTCTTTCATGGACTGGCCTGTTGAGAAACCAGCGTGCTTACCACCAAGAAAAAGACCCCATCTCCTCCCATGAGCCATCATGTGCATCGTGTGTGTGTGCGTGTGTGTGTATGTGCATGTCTGTGTATGTAAGGGAGAATATGTGATTGAAAAAGAGTGTCTATGTCTGCATGTATCAGTGTTAATGTTGTGTGTATAAATCATGTATATATTTGTGTGTGTTGGTCTGAGTATATGCATGTTGCTGGTAAAATACATACCAGCATACAGTAGATAACTTATAATACATACCTGATATCTGTTGGCAACAAGTGGATAGCACATAGCTGATGCAGATTATGAATGGAGCTCAAATAATACCAAATGGCACATAGTGGATCATGGATAATGGATAGCACTTAGCTGGTAGCGGATGGCACAGAGTGGATAATGGATAGTGGATGGTGCATAGCAGACGCTCCTGTAACACTGTACGTCTCTGAGACTTCTCACATCTTTTCCACTGGTGGAGGCCAAACTGGGGATTACATAAGGTGTCGGCTCCCTGCGCCAGCTGCCCGCTATTACTGAGGCAGGATTTTGGCGCCAAATGGACAGGAACCAGTTTTGACGCACGGGGCCAGAATCGGACAGCCGCAATCCTTCATGGCACTGAGACTGTAGATCACTGGTACAGTAAACTATGTGCACAGGCCTCCAGCTTTATTTCCTTTTACTTCCAAAGCCCCAAATCCGGGAATATATCACCCTTTCCCTCTCTAGTAAAGCCAAGATATTGAATTTAATACAAAGTAAAGCAGAAGTCATAATCTGTGTGGCGTGAAATTGGATTTTTTTCTCTCTGATCTCTTGCAGGGGGTTTCCAGAATGAACGCATGGCTCAGAATGGCGCTGCTAACGTAAGAGAACCCCAAATATAGACCCCAGAAACACAGCTTTTGTGCCTTTAACAGATGGGAGATATCAGCCTCACTTCCTCCCATAGTTCTACTGTGCCAGCACTCCGACACAGCCAAAGGAAGCCAAGAAACACACAGGGACAGAGAGACACACACAGAAACAGGGACACAGGAAATAGGACTAAGAAACCTGAGGAAATATGACCGCTAAATACAAAGAAAGACAGTGTTGTGCTTTTCTTCTTTAGATTCTTCAACTCTTGAATCGCTTTTCTGCTTGAAACGCACCTGACAGCAGTGATGTGTGGACTTATGGGAGAGTGAAGCGATACTTTCAACCAGGCATTGCCTGGGAGTGGGAGCTCTGTGGTGGCTGGCCGAGGCAAAAGTATTACTGTTACCTGAGCATGAGTCTGACTGGCCACTGAGCCATGAGTAGTGGCTATATCTAGCATAATACGAACCCCTATGTGCAATAATGTGATATAGCACAGGCTCACATGCTATACATCCAATGTTTCAGTGCGTATGGCTCTGAGCCACTCTCACTTACAGGAAAGCCTACTAATACGAGTGAATCATCAATTCTAAAGCTCTCCTTTCGTAAAACAATAAACAAGGGTATTTTCCAAACGTTCATCAGTTAACAAGAATGCAAACTGTTCCAAAAGAGTAGTCTCGTTCCTGATCCAAATGCGGTGAGCGAGGTACGGTAAATCCAGACGTGCCGTTTTTACATTTTTATGGGAATCTCTTTTTCTCCGGAGTCCTGCTTCTAAAGCCCGTAAAACTAAGCAGTGATTACCCACATGTGCTCCTATTCAGCACATGGCCTGAGATCTGAATCATATCCTGCCCTTCCACCACTACTATGTGTGTGTGTGTGTGTGTGTGTGTACCTGAATGCACTGTAATGCACTCTATGATCCTGGACAGTCCACATATAAAGGAAAATGGAAAATAAATACAAATTAACAATAATAACAATGTCATAAAAATGTTAACTAAACGACTGAGGGGTTGATTTCCTGTGTAAACCACATGCAAATAATATTATACGGGTGATCAACTAGCAAAGTGCAAAGAGGACTGCCTGTGTTAAAATTGAAAGATACATGGATTTTTCATTTTTGCAGGTTAGCTTGAATGACTATTCAAAATCGGGCATCCTTACATTACTTCACAAAATTGAGGGTGGTCAATTAAATACACGAGCATGCGTGAATATGGTTTACAAAGTCTGAAAGCAATTTTGGAAAAGGTAATTGCATGTGCAATCTAGCACCAGTGAAAGGCAGGTACTAAAACCCACACAAGTGATAAGTTGAGGGCTGTTGCAGGAGACATCCTAACAACCAAAGACCACTGTATAGGGAAGAGGCATTTTTCACTCCTGTAAATATTTTCAGATTGTCAGGGGCAAAGACCACATATCAACAATACATATCACCTTTCTAGCGATGTCATTTTACAGTTTCTAAATGAAATAGTAGGTTGTTCCAGTGTACTGCACCTATTGGGCTGTGACACATATGAACACACCATGTGTCCATTCTGTTCTTACCAATGAAGAGTGTGAAAACACATTTGTGTTGGGAATATATGTAACTGAACATTCTGAATGAGTAACAACAGAAGTTAAGCGAATGCTCAAAACATACAAAAACAGAATTTTACATCATGAACAGTAAGAATACATTTCTTTCAATAATGAAGCAAATCTTGTTACAAAATACAAATACTGCTAGTAACTATGGTTAAAATAATTTCCGTCCTGAAAAATGTATTACTTCTGGCAGACAACCAGTGTAACATTTAGTAAACAAAGGTCAAGAACCCTCTCCAAAAATCCATCCTTCAAGTCAAAGTGGTGTGTTCCTCTTATATTCTTTCACTGTGAAACGTTTTCTTAAACTTCAGTTCCTATACAAGCATTTTAGCTCCCATAGCCGACATGGCGGTTTTCCTGTCCTGTATGGTGAATCCACGTAAATAATAATAATAATAATTTAAAAAATGATGCTCGGAGGCAGATCTCCGAGATTGTTGGGAAGACTGGTGAGGTTTAATCAAGTGAATGGCAAATTTAAGCAGTTTTCAATGACACTAGCTAAAATTCCTCGGCGGTTGCGAATGCTACTTTGCGGTCCATAGTGAAACAATAGTGTTTGAAGCAAGATCACATTATTTATAGGAAAAGAAATTCCCTCCAAAACACATTTTTCAAAGTGAATGCATCCAATTTGTGGGTTCATGCATATATTGGGTAATAAGTTAATTGGTCTGCCTTTAAGAAAATACAAACATGCAACTCCACGATGAATATGAGGGTAAGTCAAAAAGTATTGCTACTAGGGGTCCAGTTCATACACGCGCAGGTTTATTCCAAACAAAACGTGTTTAAACATGTCTGAGATCAGTAGATGGCTGCAGTTCTCTCATTCATACACTTGTCTTAGTCTCTTTAGGGTGCCTTAAAAGAATACTTTTTGTGCCATGGAAAAAACCAATATTGAGGTCAGGGTTAACATCAAATTTTTAACAAAACTCAAGTGGACATCTTCCCAAATCATTTTGGAGGGTGATTATGAAGTATTTTGTTTTTTTTTTTTGGGGGATTTTTAAAATTTGACAGTTACAGTAGAGACGCAGACAGGAAATGCTGGGAGGAATAGAGAGGGGAGGAAATGCATGTGTGCAGCAAAGGACCCAGGCTGGATTTGAGCCTGGACCGCTGCGGCATGGCCTTGGCCTTGTGGGGCATGCGCTCTACCAGATGAGCTACTGGGGCGCACCATTACGAAGAAGTTTTAAGAAAACGGAAAACTGCATTGGTGAGGAAAGAAGCCAAGAAAGTTGCAACGAGGGATTTTTTTCCATCACGACAATGCACCTGCTCATTCTTCGATTGTAGCAAGGGCTGTCCTTCGAGAATTTCATTGGGATACCTTACCCCATCCACTCTAAAGCCCTGATCTTGCCCCTTCAGACTTCTTTTTGTTCCCAAAACTTAAAATTTTTTTAAAAGGAACACGATTTGAGTCCCTCGATCATGCCAAAACCGCCATTTTGACATGGGGCAAATCGAAGAGCGCAGAATTCTTCAGGGGAGGGTTAGAGAGATGGAAACACCGCCTTCAGAAGACCTGGATGGAGGATATGTCAAGAAATAGCTTCACATTTTGATATTTTTGCTTTCTATGGTTTTTAGAATTTCTATGGTTTTGTAGCAATACTTTTTGACTTACCTTCATATGCAAAGACAATGTAAATATAACATATAAATACATATAAAATATAATATATGTATAATATTTATTAGTATATACATTTTTTCTTCAAATATTGACGCATCTCCTGTCAATACATTTGCAGCCCACTTCCTCAAAACTACATTAGCAACTCCCACAACCTGGCTGCAAGTGACAGCTAGGCTACAGCGACAAAGTCGCTGCCAGCGTGAGCTCAGGGTTAGGCTGCAACAAAATCCCAGATTTAGAATCTGAATAAAATAAAAAGCATTACATTTGCCTAATACTGTTTCAGTTTTAAAGAGCATTCAGTAATTAAAGACAGAGGTGGCTAGCAGTAAGGCACAAATACCAATTAAAAGATTTTAGAAATACTCAAACTTCCATTACAATAAAAATTTTTTAAAAGATTTTTACAAGCACCCCAGCACCCTTCTTATTTCCGAACATTTCGACATCTGCACAGCTGGCCTCTGTGAATCACACTACCAGTAATCAGATCCCAATCAACATTGTGCACTGCCCTAAGATCACACAGAGCCTGGAGGTGCTCAAAAACACTGCCCTCAGCTCTTTCAGGAGTGCACCCCAAAGGGGAACTTTTGTGGCTAATATTAAACAGGAATCCATCTTGAAGAAAACCCAATTTCAGTTTTCCCACATCATTAAAATTTATGACACAATTTGGGAAATTGCTCCAGAACCTGCCGTGTGGATCCTGTATCCTGAGCTGCTCGTTGCTCGGCTGATTCTGGAATAAACAGAATCCAAATTCTGCTGGGATAAAGTGGATAATGCCTGCGGTTTGAGCTGCTCTGTGTTCCACTGCCATTTCCATAGATCACTCTATCCCTGTGCGTGTGTGTGTGTGAATGTTTGCAAGAGATGGACTGATCTGTGTGTGTGTATGTGAATGAGAACAACGTGTGTGTGTGTGTGAGCATATGTGGAAAAGTGAAGTGTGTGCAAGGGAGGGACATAACTGTGTGTGAGAGAGATATAGAGAAATAGTTGTGTGTACATGCATGTGCTGGAGAATGTGTCCAGAATGTGTGTATAGTACAAATATATATCTGTGTGTGTACATGCATTTGCTCACTGTTTTGTCACTATATTTTCCTATGATGTTGCTGTGTTGTGTTGTGATGCCGCCAAGTTAATGTGCTTAACACTGCATGCCTATGTTTACAAACATTTTTACTCCCAACAAACAAAACTTATGCAATATATCGCACATGGGTAACAAAACACCGATTCGAAAGAAAATGCAGTGCAAAAATGTTTAGTTTTAACAACAAACCAACAATGAAAAAATACAAGTGCAGCTAAATAACAACACTTGAGAAAGCCATGCTTACAAAAACCATTCCATTTATCTTGTAGCATTGAGCTTCACAGAACTTATTTGTGGCAGTGTCATAGAAAGGGCTTGTGTTAGAGGGGCTGCAGGATGGGGCGGGGTTGGGGCGGCGGGGCGGGGGCTGGGGCTGGGGTTCGGGCTGAGATAGGGTGAGTTAGTGTGCTGATGACAGAGGAGGATCAGCCGCACTGCAAATTCATCCATGCTACAAATAACAACAGAGCGATGACAACAAGCCCCAAATCTGAACAGAGCAACAGGAGGGGCTCTGAGGAGATCAGGACACCCAAGATGAGGGAGACAAACAGATTCTCTTCACCGGTTTTACAGACCAGAGCGCAAGTGGCACCGGGGCCCAGTAGCGCTCAGTATTTGGGAGCCTGTACGCGTGCGCTGCACCCCACCCTTTGGTGTGGGACAGTATCCAGTGTGGAATTACAGAAATTATGAAGCTCATGGGCGCTTATGTAAGGCATCACTTCCTTCCTGCCCACGTTTCATTTTCCCCCTCTATTGATAGAACCACCTGGTCGCCCGGCCGTCTGAATTTAGCCTGTCTGCCCCCCCTGGAATGTCCGCTCACACCCCCACTGGCTCCCCAGGGGAGACACAGACTGTCCAGGTACTGAGCTGTGCTGATGAATGAACTGGGGACAGGGGGGGGTTGTGGGGTGGGCTGGGGCAAGAGACGCTTATAGCAGGACCTCTATCCCCCAGGAGGATAGCTCTGCAAACAAGGGAATGTTAGGATGGGGGGGGCAGGGAATGCTATGGAAAACTCTACACAACAGTGGAACGCTACAGAATGCCACAAAATGTTACGGAACACTTCAGAATGGTATGGAATGTTACAGGATTCTACAGAATGTTAGGCAACACGACAAAATGGCATGGAATATTACTGAACACTAAAGAATATTCGAGAACACTACAGACCACCTCTGTCTTACACTTCTGGTTCTTTTGAGGTTCAGGCTTCATCTGTGTGGGAACATTTTGCACTCTTCACAAGAATCACAAGAACATAATGAGAGTACATAATGACAAGAACAGGCCATTCAAGCCCATCTAGGCTGTACCTACAGCAGAGTATTGAGCACTGGGCCAAGTCTAGAAATAAGCCCTACAAGGACACAAGCAGTCAGTCAGATCTGCCTACCAACTACTAGTCATGCAGAGCAAAATTTACACTCATAATACTGCAGTTGTACAGTTATTCAACTGATTAATTCCAGGAAGTCTAGGTTTAAAAACATGAAGTGTCCAACAGTGTTTGTAAGGGAGTGCGCATCACGGGATTTAATGGAAAACATGAGGCTGTTCTTCTCATCAACACTCAGGAGTGTTTCCATCGTGATCAGTCTTACCAAAAGTCTCGACACAAAGGCAGGATCTCAGAGCTGTAATAACAGCTGAGTTTTCCAGTCCACTGTATCAGAGCTGTAGTAACAGGTAGAGTGTTTCAGTGTTGGAGCCAGTGTTGTGGTTGGAGGCAGTACACAAATCTTTCCTCATGAAAAACTGCACTGAGCCGAGTAAGTATCCCAGCATCCTTCAGCCCCCTCCCACAATTCCCCCCACAGCGTATTCTGTGCCAGGGCTGAGGACGCTCAGGGCTCCTCCAGACAATGACAATGACAGACACGGCTGACACAGATTTTATTTCCTACAGAACGTTCCAAGCTCCCAGCAACGACAGACACATGGAAAGAAGAAAAAGGCAAGCCTGGGGGTACATAGTCACATGGCGGGATGAGCTCATCCCGAAGCTCCGCCCCTAAAGGGGTCTCCTGCCCTATCGCCCGCAGTTGCACCCAAGTAGTGTGCGTATTTATGTATGTGTGCATGAGTGTGCGACTGTGTGAGAGAGAGCTGACGCATGTGTCCATGTCTGTGTTTGATTTGCAAGTATGTGAGTCACTTTGACCATGTCCCTGCTCCATTGTTGCCCCCCAGTCTCAACCCCCAGTGTCCACCAGCTCTAACGAGCCCTGCACACAAAGTCTGCAAATTTTAGAAGAGCAGTGACTTCTGTCTGTAACCGTCTCTCTGACTCCACATTTAAAGGGTTAATATACGTTAACGTTAATAAACTTTTTCACTGGGTTCCACAGTTGTACAAATGTAACATTTTCCTTCCTGCTCATTGCATGAGTCATTCCCCCTTCACATTTTAAAATCTTTTCATGTTTACCATTAATATTATTAATGTATACTCCACCCACACATACACACATAAAAGGAATTCTTCTTTTCAGTATCGCATATAAGAGGAGACAAAAAATTATGTGTCCCTTCTTTCAATCTGAGAATTGAGGAACAAAGAAACGAATAAGTCCCCATCAGCGCACAGTAAAACCTGCTGATGCAGCAAACTGGCCAGTGTAAGGAGGGTCTATGCACAGGGATGTGCCACTATCCGCATAAGGAGGGTATATGTGGCTCTGAGACACACAGTTGGCGCTTCGCCTGGTTCAAAATAAGAGGAAGAGGGAAAACAATGTGTGTGTGTGGGCGCGCGCATGAGGAACAGAAAAAAAAAAAAAAAGCCAGAAGGCCACAGAAGTCAGCATGACCCCCCTACCAGATTGGGAAATCCCCTTTCTGAAGACACAAATAAGTAATGAAGACATTGAGTTTCTATCCAGTCTTCCAGAGAAGCGTATTTTTAATTTGCTTGATAAGGACAGGTTCGTGAGATGTATAAGCTGAAAACTGCCTCCTCTGCCCTTAAGTTTCCTTTAGGGAAATGCGTGTGTGTGTGTGTGTGTGTGTGTGTGTCTATGTGCGTGCCTCCATGTGGGTCTGTCTGTGTGTGCATGTGAGCGTGTTTGTGTGTGTGCATCCTGTCCCCAGGCCAGGAGAGGTGACACATACCTTCATGGTGACCGAACGGCAGAATTTATGACGCTTCCTGGAGAGGCTCGCAAGGCAAACAGCCACTCGCTAAACCGGCTCAATGTTTACTGAAGCTATTTGTTTTGTGAGATTATTCTGTAACAGGTGCTGTGTGCCAAAATAAGAGCGCATTTTCTATGTACAAACGATCCGTGTCTGAACTTAATCAGCCCCATTAGCGGCAGGGCCCAGCTGCAGGATTCGGTAACCCGCAGGCCTGCATTCCAGCACAGCTCTCTATGTGCATCATCCTAGCTCAACCTTCCATTCGCCGTTTTCCAA